AGGGAGGCCCACCCTGACCCAGAGTTCTGTTCCCCGGGTCTGGGGGTCAGGACGTGGACACATCAATTTGGGGGGGCTCCCCCCGGCCCCCCCACACACACCCCAATATCAGGAAACCTCTCTCTTATCAGGTCACCCCAAGCTGCTCATCTCTCTCTGATTTCTATAAACCCCCAAAGGGATTGTCAGAGGTAATACATGTTTTGTTTTTTTGGTGTTTTTTTTTTTCAAATCATATGACTTGGCATTTCTGGATATAAATAAACCGGGTGATTCCGGCTAAACACAGCCGGGGAGATGGGCCGATTCCAGGGGAAACGCCGTAAAGATAACAAAGTGTGAAACGTCCAGTTTGAACATGGGGGTAGGGGCCCCGGCTGGTGTGGCTCAGTGGATAGAGCGTCGGCCTGCGGACTGAAGGGTCCCGGGTTCGATTCCCGGTCAAGGGTACACCTGCCCGGGTTGTGGGCTCCATTCCCAGTGGGGGGCGTGCAGGAGGCAGCTGAGCCATGATTCTCTCTCATCATTAATATTTCTCTCTCCCTCCCTCCCTCTCCCTTCTTCTCTGAAATCCATAAAAAAATACATTTAAACATATTTTTTTCAACCCCAGGGCAGGGATGTGGGTGCTGGAACAGGGAGCCATTCTCCTGGGGCAGCTACTGATGTGTCCCCCGGGCCCGCCAGGACCCCAGCCCCCCAGCACCCCAGGACCCCCAGATCCCCAGCACCCCAGGACCCCAGCACCCCAGGACCCTGACTCAGTGGCTGACAATTAACGAGGACCCCCCTTGGGCCCCATGAAAGAAGAGGCCTCAGCTAATGAGGAGGCAGGAGATGCGTTTCATCAAAGGTCAAGTTTCAGGGAAAGGGTGGCAAACGGATCCCCCGCTGGGACTGCAAACACCCCCTCTGCTCGCAAACACCCTTTGATCTCCCCAGTTCACGGTCAGTGAAGGTCATGGCCTTTGATTTAAAAAGTGTGGGACTTGCCCTGACCGGTGTGGCTCAGTGGATAGAGCGTCGGCCTGCGGACTGAAGGGTCCCGGGTTCGATTCCCGTCAAGGGCATGTACCTTGGTTGCGGGCACATCCCCAGTGGGGGGCGTGCAAGAGGCGGCTGGTCGATGTTTCTCTCTCATCGATGTTTCTAACTCTCTGTCCCTCTCCCTTCCTCTCTGTAAAAAATCAATAAAATATATATATTTTTAAAAAAATACAATAAAAAGTATGGGAGTTGCCACCCCCAGAGTCTGACCCAAGGGTCCTCCTCCCATCTCCCCAGTCCTGAACCGACAGCATCGTTCAGACATGCATCGAATTTCCAGAAATGTCTGTTATCTACCAATGCAACCGTCCAGTGCGGTTTTTGTATTTCTTTTTAAAATAGATTTTTATGGATTTCAGAGCGGAAGGGAGAGGGAGAGAGAGAGAGAAACATCCATAAGGAGAGAGAATCATGGACTGGCCGCCTCCTGCACGCCCCACCCTGGGGATTGAGCCCACAACCCGGGCCTGTGCCCTTGACCAGGAATCGAACCCAGGACCCTTCAGTCCGCAGGCCCACGTTCTAGCCACTGAGTCAAACCTGCTAGGTCTGGTTTGTAAATTCTTAGCATAGTTGTTTTTTTAAAAAAAACGTATTTTATTGATTTTTTTACAGAGAGGAAGGGAGAGGGATAGAGAGTTAGAAACATCGATGAGAGAGAAGCATCGATCAGCTGCCTCCTGCACGCCCCCCACTGGGGATGTGCCCGCTACCAAGGTCCATGCCCTTGACCAGGAATCGAACCCGGGACCCTTCAGTCCGCAGGCCGACGCTCTACCCACTGAGCCACACCGGTCAGGGCTAGCATAGTTTTTTTGTTTTTTTCAAAGGGGAGAGGGAGGCTTCCAAAATGTCAGGTTTCCTGCAAGAAACATGTGTTTAAAAAAGAAAAAGAAAGAAAGGAAGGAAGGAAGGAAGGAAGGAAGGAAGGAAGGAAGGAAGGAAGGAAGGAAGGAAGGAAAGAAGAAGGAAGGAAGGAAGGAAGGAGGAAGGAAGGAGGAAGGAAGGAGAGAAGGAGAAGGAAGGAAGGAAGGAAGGAAGAGGAAG